TGTTCAGTAAACTTTTCCGGATTAAATGGTATATTTCAAATTGACGTGAAGCTGTTTTATTGATGTAAATTAACGTGGCGTGTATTTCACATATGGGACAACTGAGGGACCCGCAGTAGAAGAGTCTCTTATCCACTGGCAAAGGCAACGTAGCGCTGATGTTCTGACGTGCTCAGGTTAGTGTAGTTGTATGGAACGAGGAGTGTGCAGGCAATAGTTACAAAGGGCCCTTAAAATCAGTGTCGTTATTAGTATGGAGCGCGACAGCAAAGGCAGCACGCAGGCTGTTCGTCGTTTGTCCTTTTTCAAACAGGAGGATGAAGGACAGATAGAGAAAACGTTTAAAAGACTGGTGAATTTCCACTGAGTCCAAATTAGGTCTTCTGTTCTATCTTTTCCAGGGCTGAATGTGTTTGAAATTTTTTTTGTTGGTGTTTTTTCAGTTATTAGCATTGCCATGTTTTCTCGAGGAGCTGTAGCCACGTTCCACCTAACGCAACCCTATCTCACTGTCTTCACACCAAGCCAATGGCTCTATCTATCTCCTAAGAGGTGCTGGACTTCATGGGATTCGCAACACGGAATGCCCAAATCCCTTTTTCTTTGAAGCTATTCTCAGCTCTTTGGGTTTCATTCCTTGCTATTCTGTGGAGGCAGCGTGATTCCTATCATACCATTGTTGATTGCATAAAATATTCCCTGAATCCAACACGTTGCATTAAAATCTGGTGTCTGGGCCCTGTCTGATTCTGAACAGAGTAGCTGTTGGATTGCGTTTCAGCCATCCTCAACTCAAGCCAAGTTCAGAGAGACTTGATTGGGATATCGGTGAGGGGTAAAAACCATGCAGACCTCGGCTATGATTGATAGAATCGTGCACAGTAAAGACAAGTATGTACAAATACTTGCCCAAAATAGTAGGGCCTCAATTCAGCTGGAACTGGCAGACTTTTCAGCTCGACTTTCAAGAAACATTGTTTTTAATTGACCTTCGTGTGAGTAATTTGAAGAGCCAATGCTGCTTTTCGCAAGGAGAGTTTCAAGCGGTGGAGTCTCCCATCATATGTAAAATTAGGAATTTTACTGTATTGTGAGTGATTAAACCTGACCCCCAGGGAGCCAAAAATAATGCTGTGTGACTTCCTTGCCTAATTAACACAGAACAAATGTGAAAATGTGTACATTACAGTAAATTGTGTGCTAATTGGCCTTAGAGAAGTACTAAATACGAGAAAGAAATGGGCATATAATTTCAAACATATTTGCGAGGTTTTGCAGTCTGCTTGCAAATAGGAGGATTAAACCTGACCCCCAGGGAGCCAAAAATAATGCTGTGTGACTTCCTTGCCTAATTAACACAGAACAAATGTGAAAATGTGTACATTACAGTAAATTGTGTGCTAATTGGCCTTAGAGAAGTACTAAATACGAGAAAGAAATGGGCATATAATTTCAAACATATTTGCGAGGTTTTGCAGTCTGCTTGCAAATAGGAGGAAAAAAAAAGTCAAAATTTGACAAAACCATTATTTGTTATGATTTATTTACTCAGCTCTA